AATAACAACTTTTTTTGCGTCTTTTATTACCATTAGAAGTGTTGATGTTCTTTTTTATATTCATCTTTTTATTAAACAATTCATTCGATAAACATCGTATACTACAGTCGTTTTGATTTATTAGGAACGAAATCTACCTTTTGCTGCAGCTAATTTATATCGGTACATTTTTCCCGAACCTTCCGATATTCTCTTTCGAAAAAACATCGACAATGTTCATCCAATTTTATGATTAATATCTTCCACGAAGGGTGAAACTAAACCAATCCGGTAATCAGTCAGTGTCGTTGCACCCCTGTGGCGATCGGTCATTCTCGCATCCTGGGTCACGCGGATTAGACAAATTAACGCCACAAAGAGACCGAATAAGTGATGGTAGTTTAATCTTCCAAAACTCTATAATTGACAAAAAGAAAACGAGTAGGCATTTTTAACACTTCTATTAAGTTGTTAAATGTAGAATTTACAATGCAATTAGCACGTTACCATACTATACGAAGCGGATAGCACCGGCATTTTAAGTGAGAGTGGGTAACGTGAGAGCAAGAAAGAAAAAACGCGGTATACATGTTGCCGTTCGTGGGCTATAACTCCTCCAATCGCAAATTCAATAGCCATTTAATTATGGGCCCGTGATGTCGATCTTCCCACGCGAAACTAACCTACAATAAGCACGAGCTGTATACATTTATATATAGGAACTGCTAGCTATCATTTTAAATTTATTTGCAGACGTAAAATATGTACACTTAAATTGATGATGAGAAACCGTTTTTTTTAATGAGTGAAAGCAATCTATTCTACTTTTTGGACTAAATTTCCTCAGATACCCGAAGTAGAGTCGGTGCAGTCGGCGAGGCAAATATTCGTTAAAAATGCATGTACAGTCAGATTATTGCATAGCTTTTTGAGTTATGTTCATTTGACTGCCACCGAAACTGGCGTCACGTTTAAAATTTTAGCACCCTAAATATATTTTATTTTACCATTTTCGTTTAGTTTTTAAATTGTTTGAGTATAAAAACATAAAATAGCTATTTTCGTAAAGCCGATCCCGAACCTATTCGATGCGCATGCTCGTCACGGTACTAATTCAGTATAAATGGAGGCCGCGAACGTACTGCGGGATTTTACGAATAAGACGGCTTAGAAAAATGATTATTATGCCCACATTAGTTTTAGCTTTGAAATGAGTTGAAGAAGTATTGAACAATGTTACCTATCGGATGCATATAAATTACACATGTCCACAGTGATTTTGATGTTTGAAATCTGTTTGATTATTGGTATTTTTTTGGGGAGGTCATTTTTCCAAAAAATGCCATATTTCTGCTCTATCACGTCATCTTTTTTATAGCGCTCAATACCTTAAAAATGTTATTTTATTAATATATATCCCTATGACATGAATATGTATGTTTGTTCCATGTTAGGCATGATTTTTACGAAATTAAATGTGATTTGGCAACACTGGATGATATTGGCTTTCTCAGAGTTGTTGGTTGGCGCAGAAGCGTCAATACAGCGTTGTAACCTGCTTATGCGCAGTTTGGTTGTATTGGTGGTCGTGCTACAGTGTTCGCGGCTGTTGTATTCGTTGTTCCGTATTTCTAATATAATAATAATTAAGAAACTGGCAAAAAGGTAGGGGAAGAAATTTTTACGCGGCCTTAGAATCACAGTGATGATTGTTATTTTTGTTCGTGTAATTTTCAAGGATTCGACAGAAAAAATAAGAAACAAATTGTGTATCCCAATCTTGGCTCTGCTATTCGACCAGTTCCTCATGGACTAAATGTACCGATACCTACCGCCCCAAGAGAACTAGAAAACGTCATATCATCAGGCAGAGGAATCTAGTTCCGACCCAATGTTTATGTGTTTAATACGAGCGAATTAAATAGAGATTTGCACCTTCCAAAGGATGCATCCGAATTGAGTGTCCAGACTTCGTGCAAACATTTACTGACATCTGGCGTTACATCAAGCTTTTACCGGGATCGCGAAAAATAGTTTTGTCAATATTTTATTTAGGAAGGACCGCTAGTGTATTGCAACAATATTCCTGACTTAGTTTAACTAGGATTCTACTGTTTTACTGAATAAAAAAATAGATTATTTCAGAAACATCGTTTTTTTTTCTTCAATATTTGCAAAAAAACACCTTACGTGATACAAATAAATGCATAGAATTTTTGAAATAAGTCTACCAAAATTATATAAAATCAGTCAAAAAGTTAAATTTTGTAAACCTTGTTAGTTTTGCCGCTTTTTCGAAATTTTTAATATTGCCATATTCTTGGATTTATTTCGAAATTACAAGAGGCAGGTCAAGTTTACCGTTATACATTTAACTATTATTCTTGTCTTGCCCTTATTTTAGTCCAATGTATATGTAATTAATACGTAGCTATTCCGAATATGTGATCCTTTCCGCGAAAATTGCAATTATGAGCTATTATAACTTCAAAGGGTTTCAGGAGACGATTTCAAATTTATAATTCATCAATGATTTATTCACCTCTGCTTTCGAAACTTTCTACATAGAATTCATTTTTACTTGTTTAGCCGCAAACTACTTATATATAATCACAAAAAAAATGGAAAAAGAAAAGTCATCAATAGCTAGTGTTGTGACTGGTCAATTGACCACTTCCTAATAGACTAGTCAAAAAATGTTTTAAAGAACGTCTTGCAATTGTAGAGTGTTATTTATTATTATTTAATAATAATAAGTATTTTATAATAAATTATTATGCGTTTGTGATGTCCAATTTACCTATAACCCTCTTCAAGCAATATCCGAATACGATATTTAGCCATTCGGGGAATCCCAATAACAAAATCGACTCCATTTGGTCCCCAGAACGACGCGACGGCGACGTAACGCACAATATATATACAATTAACACAAAAAAAATTGAGCGGTCACCCCCAACCCTATCAATAGCCACACATGACATGAGTTGGTGATGTCTCCAAATTTCAGAATATTGTGATCCGCGTGACAAAACATTGTGAAAATTGTATATTATGCAAGAAGTTTGTTAAACAACACTTTAGTCATGAGTGTGTTTTAGCATGAGCAGAGCGAGACTGAAGACTGACGATATATTTTTTGCAAAACAGCAGAAATACATTCACTGAGTAAAGTATGAGGTGCTCCCAGAATTAACAAACGTCAAAAGACCATGGCTAAAGTCAACTCAAAATATCCGCTCGCTCCCAAACCCAACCCGTGACTAGAACGTTGAGAACTTTTGAAATGGCTGGCGACCGTAGGTAAAGTGGTCTATACACATGCAGGCAAGTGTTAAGACTTGCATGTACAGGTCGAGACACGCGAGTAAGTGCGAATGTGTATGGGTTAAAACTCAAGGCGCGTTCAGTTCCAAGCGCGGCTCCAAGCGAATCAGATTGTGTCTCATTTTTAGAGCAAGTGCGAAGACCAACTTCATTTTTCGCACAGCAGCAGGCCCCACCAACTAGTGAACCTCGAGGTTTACCGGAATAGTGTGTGGCCGCAATTCGTTTCGCACTTGCTCGCGAATTTACCTGGACACACTTGCGCGCGGACTTGCCTGCATAACGAAAGTGAACTTAAGTGACACTTTCGTCGATTTTGTCAAAATATTATTTATAACCTAATGTTCCGATATTAAATAAATTTATTCCGCCTAATTATACCTTTGATCTTTATACAATAATTTAGAAAAAAAAAATTAGCTCTCCCGGGTCCGTACCCGAACTTAACTTTTATAACCCGCATGATAAATAAAATAGGAGTATTTTAACTTTATATTTGGCGTTTTCTCAAAGCAGACACTTAAAATAATTATACTATTATAGATTGAATCTTTCTGTTGATAACTTTGTGCTTTTAAATGGCAAGTGATCATTTCTAACAATATTTTTTTTAATGTCGAATGAGGCCCGCTCCCCTTGCGGGCAACCAAGGTCAAAATGATAGCTCCTTTTAGTTAATTAAAATCGCTAAATTAAGAGCTCCTTATTTACGACTTATCGATCCAATTAAAAACTTAATGCACGCCGATAGTCCAATAATTTTCAATTGAAAATAGTAATCGCCGTTAAATTGCTTAAACTGACGTACACGGTGTGTCAAAAACCTGCAGGTGAATTTATACTCATGATCTTGGGAGAGCAGTTTTATGATCTAGAGATAAAATTCACTATAGAACCTCAAATAAGATAGGATAGATTACGCTTTACAAAATTTGACCTAAGAGAAAAAAAATTGTTGTAAAGGGATTTTCACTCAACCCGATTCTTCTATAATTTGCTATGTGGAATGTATAGAAAAATATTATGAATTATAGAGAGACCTTATTATTAAATAGAGGTGTAAAAGCATCAGCTAGATCTCCCGAATATAAAACTCCAATTTCGTAGGTATCACGCAAATCTTTTAAGAGAGCAAATTTGTTATACTGGTTACTTTGGAACGTAGGAAATTTCCCTTGAATCATTTGTCAAAATATCGAAAACCGATGTGGCTGCGATAGAAAAATAATTTAAAACAAACGATTTTCATTTGACGGTCTAAAAAGCATACTTACCGAAGTGCACAGTCGCTCGATTATTAAAGTGGTTAATAACTATAATTTGGTTCAACTCAACCATGCATCGCGCGTAAACTATTCATTAACGGGGGGGAAATTTCTACTGCTTTTTCTTCTGTAAAGACTGATAACATTCAACAAGTTAAAATCCCAAACTTTATAAAAAAATATGGACGGAGTAATGTTGTAAAATGTTTATGTGTCGTTACTTTACCAAAAAAAAGATACTTTGAATACTCCCCATGCCCATGCGAAGCCTACCAGAAACAGAAAATTTTACCGCATCTGGTCTTTTCTTTATATGAACGCATTTTTAAACGGGTTTCAAAGAAAAAATACACGAATAAAATACACAAGTGAAACAAGTAAAAGTAATAACAGGCTTACAAATATCAATATCATTGTTAATGGACTAACCTGAATCTTCAGCGAGCATATCATACACTTGTTGTGCAGCAGCATCTTCGGAGGTAAAATCCCAAAGACCATCGCAGGCTATTATTAAAAAGTCCTCGCCTCCATCTAATGAGATTTCCCTGACGTCTGGTATGGCGATTACAAAAGGTTTGTGGTTAGCATCACCTTTAAGTCGAAAAACACAAGATAGTAAAGCAATGAAATTACAACTTTAATCCGGCGGATCCGCCAGAATAGAAATGATTATTGTCTTCTGGTGTAGGTTCTGAATATCAGAGAAAAATGATAACCATTTCACAGATAGAAATGTAATTACCAAAATGCATTAAGATTAAAAACAAAAAATTAATAGCAAAAAGGTTTCGCCACTTAATAATGGTCTTAGTATCTATAGAACATTCCCCATAACCTTATCCCGATCAAGACAAAATTACAATCATAAGGCAAATGCACAAATTTGGCAATTTCAAAACTTATTAATTAACAAGTTTAAGACTCTAAAACTCTAATGAGAGTTTTAATTTTTGTTTTAATTATTATTCATTTTAATCCAGTTTTTAGGCTTGTGAAATAGACAGTTTTTTAAAGCACAACAACGGCTTAAGACTCTTCACATTGTCAAATAACGAAATGCATTAGTTGGAATTATATTCCGTTCTGTCGGCAAAAGAGTAGAAAGATGAGTGGAGTTCCATTCATAATTTCTACATCGTGGTTGTGTTCAAAAATAAATAATTTAGTTTTTTTTTTATTTTATTTAGAAAGTACAGCGTAAACATGACAATAATTTTTTGGGAAAGTACTTGAATATAATGTAATAGGCTAATATTGCCCCAATTTAAAATATTAATTCCATTGCGTTTTTAAAATTTGAATTAACAGGAAAGTTTTGCTGGTTTTTCATCTTGAAAAGAAAAACACATAGTAAAAATGGAAAAAGACAACAAAATATTGTACTGTTAGCTGATTAATATGCAAAAAAAAAATAAAAATGATTTTCTTGACTTTGATTGTAAAATTTAAATATGCTCTTATGATTTATAAAGGAGCAATGACATCGTTATACGCAGTAGTTATTTAGTTGGGAATACGTTATAAATGAATTTAGGGCAAAGTGATGGAGATGGCTATCATAGTTAGGATAATTTTTTTGCAGTTGCATTTAAGAAAATAAAGTTTTCTTGCAAACTATAAAATAAAAAAGAGTGCACAAATTGTTTTTATGTATATTGCTGTTTACCTATAGCTCTGGATACAGCAAGCTGTCCGCTTACTCTCCACACTCCATACCACATCATACATGATCCTCCAGCTTTCATTATGCGGTCTCGTTCATCCTAAACCAAAACGCTATTCATAGATACTACGTCAAACAACATATTAAAGTCCTAGAAAATGGCGACCCTATATGAACAACCATTGCACCTCAGATTAAAACAAAATTTTGCTGCGGGAATGAAATTTTCTTAGATGTACCTGTCTATTGGGTTTATGAGGATTTACGCATTGCATCACTCGGCCTTGGTTGACAAGCAAAGCCTGAGAATCCCCAGCCCATGCAATGTACAAAACTTTTTCTTTAGGTCTTAGTAAGGCAACAACGGCTGTAGTTCCACTGCTTAATTTCTGCCAAAAGTTCAAATGTTAAAGTTGAAATTTAAAAAAATATATACAGCACTTACTTCATCTTTACATTTCTCGAGAAGCAAAGCATCAGTCTTGCAAAAGGCGTCTAATAATGCCTGCGTAGGATTGCTTACAAAATATCTGTTTTCAGCTAGGAACTGATGTAAATGAGCGGAACTGTAAACTGCAGCATCTTGACCAGCATGGCCATCAAATATTGCATAGTAACTGGACGGAGTAGCATCCTGAAAGCATGTGTTATGGCACTATAGACCTTTCTAATATATCCTTTTTATCACACCAAGTTCTTCCGTGTTTCTGCGTTTGTATTACATGTACGATCTCTAAATTGCGAAAAAATTGTTCTCCAAAATTAAACATACCTGTAAGTGGAACATAGTGCTTAAATCATGTATAACTACATGTCTATCTTCCATTGTTCTTCTTCTGTTCCTAATGGAGCATATGCTTGTTGGAAAATAGTAACCAGAAGGAATAGGCAGTGAGCAGAGCATGCTGTTGTCGAGGTAACGAAGGCACACTTCGTTCGTTTTGGCCATCACAGATTGCATTAACTTCAGTGGTTCATAAGCTGCAAGATTTTTGGAAACTCTTTACAACTGTATGATAAAGTGACAATAAAATTCAACTCCTATTTGTAATAAGTAACCTCAAATAAAACAAAATGCAGGAATGACTTATTCTATTAAAGCATTCTTAATTTACTAAGGAAACTTCTACTATTAATCTATTCTGTTGAACCTTCGCTTTGGTTCAAAGGCGACATTTTCGTTTATATTGTTTTGTAACAAGTGTAAAAAGAAGATATATATATATATATATATATATATATATATATATATATATATATATATATATATATATATATATCCTATTTCACAAACACGTATTATGGCATTCAAATTTTATTTCAGTTAGTCATCCTATATTAGTTTTTTATACAACTAGGGAGTCAAATGTAATTTCACTCATGAGACTCGCCTCGTCAAACATCAGTCGAAATTAATTCTAATGACGAAAGAAAACTCAGAACAAATTAATGTGGGTTGCTATTATCGCCACAAAAACAAATATTTGAATTGATGAGGTTCTCCTGCGAGAGCACATGTCGTTCTGACCGAAAAGCTACTCCAATAATGAACGTAATAAAATCAGAAACACTAACACCAAATTGGTATACCTACCATTTTTCTCTTTGTTAAATCCATGAGCCAAAGGATCCTTCTTGCACGCCTTTCTTACTTCATCTATCACAATCTTAATAATGGGTGCATACAAGTATGGAGGACAATTCCTTAAAAATTAAGAAAGTATGATTGTGAGTATTATTTTCAATGGTGATGTTTTTATTTATTTTAATATTATTTCCGTTCATATAAAAACCTTTAAAATTTTATAACAAACTGATAAAGGCTGCGTACGTAGTAGTTTTTTGAATTTGAATTGAGTACAATCTTCTTGAAAAGACCGAGTAAGTTTTCATTACGTTAATTCAATCACAAGACCGTGAAAATGAAATTGTAATTCAGATTTTTTAAAAGTAATTGAAAGTCGATGAAACTTTAGTTACAGTTTGGTAGTGTTTTCTTTATTCAAAAAATTATCTTAGAAACCTGAATGTTCTTGCAGACAATTTTTTTTCTAGATATCAATGCCGTACGAGAACTACACACACGTTAAAGGAAAATAAAAGACTATAATAAGTAATTAAAAATATCGTTTATTAAAAACTAATGAAAAAAAAACAGCATTTTTATCAGGAATGTTAAATTGACATAAGATTTATAAGCTGGATATAAAACAACAACGAAAATATAAAACAAACAAAATTTGGCACAAAAACAAATATGATTAAGTACTGAGTTTTCGAAAATCGACACCATTATTGCTAACGAAGAAACGGTTAATTTGCGTATCACATTAAAACAACGGTATACAATGTAAGTAATACAATACAGTCACAAATCTTGAAAAATGCATGCAACAATCGCCATGCTTTTACCAGCATTGGGTTATAAATCACTTAACACGCTCACATTGTAGTTTTAGACAGGATATGCCATTATGAAGTTTAATTATTCAAATTACAAAATAATAAAGAATCTCAACACATAATTGACACCCATTTAACAATATATCTGTGGTATTTAAGACGAGGAAGAAAAAAGTTAAAGAATTATCACAAACCCTATAATGACTAGGGCTGTGTATAATTTTTATAAAATGCTTTTGAAACTAGTTGCTTTTTAAAAAAAGATTAATTTCTCCCATTTGGCACAAAATTGAATATAAACTCACTTTGACATTTCCTGTAATTACAACATAATATTGCAACATTATAAGAAACAATGTAATATAAGAAACATTGCGACCTTAAGAAACATTTTAAAGAAATAAATTTCTCATTCTTTAGAATAATGATATAAAAATAAAAATCGCTTTTTTGATAATTTACTCAGTTATAAAACGTTAACTACTTATCACAATGCTTCATTTATTTTTCTCTGGGATATCTGGGCTTTCACGGCTAAAACAAAAACCTCCTCTGGACATAATGAAAAAACTTTTCTGCTGCTGACGGTGAAAAAGTTTTAGAAATCAATATTTAAATACTGTTTGTCTCAACAGAAAATTACCTAATCAGTTTTGCAAAATTAAATCCCACCCATGCGGTATAATTAGGAAATAATAGAACGCGAACAAACTTAAGGCAGGTGCACTCAAGCTTTCCCACCCAATTTCAATTATCCCCAAAAAAGATTTTACCAAATCACACCCCGTAGATGTCAAATAGTCTACTCTTCAAGGCCTCGGGAAACTGACTATAGAACTGAAGCCAATTTTCTTCACCACACTGCTGTTTAAATGAAATTAAAACGTTTCTAATCGTGTCCTTTAAATCTGGTCTAATATTAAACCAAGATGCTGACGCGTCACAGAAAAATATGAAATAATTTTTGTTAAATTCCGGATGACGAAAGATTATCTGACACAGACCACGAAAGGCCCAATCTTTCTCATCAGAGTCACGTACATTTCGAATCAACATGCAACAGTTTTTAACAATAGCGTCTAATTCAGGTACATCTATATCTGGACAAACGAAAAATATAATGCAAAGAGAAATTGCAACTGTTTGGTGCATAGTCCGAGCAACCGCTGGATTACGAAGTATTTGAACAAACCTACTCAAAATTTCTGGCAAGTATGGTTGAATATCAATGCCCATAACTAAACACAATTTTCCGACAACCCATGCTGCATTATTACATACACCATCGCTGTGTTCGTCCAAGTTTTTAATAATTAATGGTAAATATTCATTAATATTGGAAGATAAAAATGGGTAACAAAGAGAAAGTAATTCCCCATACAAGGCTATAGCAGTTTGCCTGATTAAATTAGAGCCATCTTGCATAGTTGTGTAAAGTAAAGGAACTAGGTTACTATTTGTTGCAAATTTGACAAAATGAGATTTAAGTCCTAATGCCATGCTGTACAAAACATCATGGGCTACACTCATGGGTTCCTTATCGGGCGGATCATATTCATTCGGATGTTCCTGGTAATTTATACAAGAAATTAGAGTATCATGAATCAGCTGCAAACAATGAAAAAAAACTGTTTCTGCGTATGGTAAGAAGGACTCTTCTAAAGCTGGGATCACATTAGCTAGACATTCTAAGACAGCAATAAAATGGTCATCATAAGAACTATCTATTTCCGTGAACTTCATCATTAGAGGGGGCAAGAGCTTAGCAACATAACCTTGTTTGCTCAAATTATTGCCCACTGATTGAGCTAATGCCCCAATTGCATCATACAGTAAATACAAACTGCGGCAATGAAATTTTTCAAATCCCAAACAAAATCCATCCAAAATGAAATCTATATAGGGGACTAATTTTAATTGAGCTTCTTCCTGAAAAATGCAAAAAGCTGAGATTGCAGCTCTTTGCACACTCTTATTATCATCAATAAAATGCTTTAACAGAACTGTCATAACGGGTATAAAGTAAGTATGAGGAGCATCAGGGTGAACATTAATTATCCATGTAACATACCGACTCAATGTCCAACAAGTTATAACTCTAACCACAGAATTTTCGTCATTCATTGACTGCAGAAGAAAATTTAACAATTCAGGCAGATGTGCTTTCAGACCAGTCAAGCATCCCTCAGCTATTGCTCCAAGTGCTAAAATTGCTGATTCTTTAACCAAATAGTCAGAATGCATTAGCATTTCATTTATAAATGGAACTAATATTGGCAACAATTCATCACCAAACCTTAAGGCCAATGAGTCCAGCGATGCAGCACTACACTTCCTTAAAGTCCAACCCATATAAAAGTCATCAAAATCGTCCCCTTGTCCTTCAGTGTCATCATCTCCATCGCTGTAATAATCATCCTCTTGGCTAATTCTGTCTTTTACGTGGAATGGAGAAATATCTTGGGGCAAATCTTTATTATTTGCATCTGAACCCAAGCGATCTTTGATAAGATTTAATTCAACCGTTGAGTAATGCATATTTTTTAGCAAAATGGGCAGCAATTTGTTGATATGAGGTGAAATAATTTCCTTGCAAGTGGTCAATTTTGTTGTTGCTAACCAAAATTCACATGCTTGCAGTGCCACATCATGATCTTCATGTTGGCATTTATCCATTAAATACAAAATGACATTGTGCAAATGAGGCAATAGAGATCCCTCCTGCTTATCCACATAAATGACAAAAGTGTGGCACACATATTTTTGAAGTTCAATGTCATCTGTGTTAGCTAACTTCATGACATGTTTCAAATACAATCCTAGGTCAAGAGACTGTGTCATTAGTGGGAAAAAGTCCTGTAGAAACTGATTTGTCAATCTCACTATATCTAAATGCATCGGACAGTCTTCTTTTGAAAGATATTCAATGAATTTGGGAAACACTTCTTTAGTTACCTTATAAATTTCTTCCTGAGATTTTTGATTATTAATTAAGTCCTCGCAAATTTTAAAAAGAGTTGTCAACGCAACTTCACTAAATTCATTTTGAGCAATAAAGTTTTTCAGTAAAATGGGTATCAATTCAGGCCACGATTTCAAATGATCTCGTGCTATAACAACAATGACATTGGAAATGCTAATTCTGACTTCACGAGATGAATCATTTAACAGATGCAAACACTCTTGCTTAAGTTTGGATACACTTTCTAAACTTAGATTTCCATATGTGGTTGCCAAATTATTCTTCAGTAAAATTCCACTAAGAGATCTAATATCTTCGGAAAAGCTGGGGTTTCCAAGTATAAATAACAGATAGTATGTGAAGTCTGATAAATTTTGAATAATATTGATTTTCTCTTGCACATTTTTCTGAACTTCGCTGTCTGGTATTAAAGCTTCTTGTAACACATCCTTTACTGACAATAAAATATTTTCTTGAGGCCTCCATTCGTTACAATTCATTATATGTATGTCCCTAGATCTGAAAAATGAGAAAACAAAGTTAGGTTAAGTCACCAAAATCCGTTAAACGAATTCATTTCACAGGCACAACTAATTGAAAAGTTAAATAATCTTGTACTTACCTACTATCTGATATTAGACTTATTTAAAGCACAAAAGTTTTTCCAAGATATTGACAGTGCTTTTAATAACTTCAAATACACAAACCCTGCCAAATCACATGCGCAAGACCAGAACAAATCAACAAATCAAAATACAATGAACCACAGATTAAATTAACCAATGAAAGCATATTTTGCACAGAGATGGATTCAGTAGTATAAAATGTTGAAGTAATACATTTTTCCCATTCTCGTTATGAGTTCTCAGCCCAAAATAAAATATCTAATGGAATGAAAAAGTAAGTAAGTAAGTTTAAATGTTTCTTAGACTATTAACAATTTATAAAATAAAGAAATTATGATCATCCAATAATACAGCATTATCCTGCAAAAAAATGAAACTTCTAAAATTTGACAGGGGCTCTAGCAATACTTATCCCGTTCGCTAACAAAAACGGTAGTTTCTTTTCAGATAATACAAAAAATCGACAGATAGATATTCTCGTCTGCAATGTTTTTGGAGAAGTGCAAAATCTTGTAGGTTTCGTTTTTATCAAATTATCATAATGGAATTTTTTTTTTAATTCGACATCAAGTATGGAAGAAAATCTATTATTTGCTATAAAAGGAAAAATGGACATTTATCTTAAAATTAGGTTGGCTAAATATAAAATGACAGTGTGGGTGAATTTCTTCTTTCCAAGCAATTGTATCGACTTATTAAAAATGGTATCGCCGCCCAGATAGCGGCAATAACAATTAAGAGGTTATTTACCTTTACATTACATAATACCGCTAAAAGAAATGAAACGCCATATAACCTACAAATAAGGTGTAGCAACCAGAGTTGCATCACTAAATTAACATTTAAATAATATCTTTATTCATCTAAATGAAAATGTTAATTTGGGAGGCTTTTCGTATAGCAAAAACGTAGTTGATTTTTCATAGTAAAATCTTCTAGAACATTATTGCAGTAAAACGGATATTATAACTCATTTTAAATCAAATAAGGTAAAACGTTTAAAAAAATTATCTCATTTGTTTACAAGTTAAACTGGCGCAGTCGCACATTCATATTATTGACTGAAGTTGTTTTTTTGTTAGTCCACCCAGTTTCGCGACATTCTACAGCGAAGTAAACAACAAACCGCAACGTGAAAAGTTACTTAAAAGGTAAAAAATATTAAGCAAGTTGAAATTGTAAATCCACGCCGCTATAAATACTTACTTTTGTGAAAGATATTGTGTCGTCCAGTCAATTACGGCGCCGACAACCTCAACATTAACCAATTTATAACTGGCTAGTTTTACAGGTAGTTGATCACATGGATCGACAGTCTGAGCAAAATATTCGAAAAATTCTCGGTAATTTGTCAAATAATCGTCCTTATTGGCCATTTTCCACTTTACTTATCACAGATTGTTATAAACACAAATACACAAATTGCACAATCAATGTTTACAAAAGTTGAGACGCATAAATATAATCCGCGTTTTGTACTTTTGACTGCGTTATCATGCAGGTCCTGATTTAATTAGGAATACTGGGAATCATTTAAAGTATAATAATAGTAGTAATAAATAACAACTGTAAAAATCGCCACAAACTATGAAATGCATTTAACTATGCATTACTGAATTTAACCCTACCTAAATGAAAATTTGCGGCGTTGCAGTAAGTCTTGCAATGCTACCAACCTAAGGCAACTCATTGAAATATCCATTCTACTTCTTTTTTCCATGCAAATTTAGTTCTGGCAGCGCAAATACAAATTTTTTGGTCGTGGACGTAGAATTACGCGTTATATTCTTTTTTTGGTTCGTTTAATTATGAAAAATTATTAAGATAATGCCTAAATCGTGATTTAAAACACGCTAGGCAGCCGCAGAGGCGCAGCACATTTTCCTATATTGTCTTTTATTTTTTATGTCGAATATCATTTAATTCAAAAAATAACGCGTTTTAAAAAAAGAAACTGAACTCAGAACTCTTTAGATCCCCAGAACAGAATTTGTTTTGATAGGATTGTGTATGGGAATACTAAAAATATATATATTTTCATGGTGTGCACAGAACAGGAAAATACGTAGTTTTTTCCTCGCCCGTTGCTAGGAGACCAATTGTAATAAAAATAGAAGGCAATGGCACCGATAGCAGACGAAAATTATGAACCAGATACAAAAATAATAATATTTAATGCTTCAAAGCAAGAACTATTTCAATTTAATGAGAACTACAAAAGCTTCCATAGGAAATTGAAGTCTGCAGCAAAAGTGGTTATTAACAGGGATGAGATCAACTCGGAGTTGTTAAAAACTTGTTCATTATTTATTCTGCCAGGATCTCAAATAATTTTTGAAGACTCGGAAATAAAGGCCTTAATAAATTACTTAGAGACTGGGGGAAGAATGCTTATATGTTTGCAAGAGGCTAATGCTGATGATCCTTGCAATATAAATGTATTATTAGAACATTTTGGGATAACTCCAAATATAGACAGCCTGATTCGAACACATTATTACAAATATTTTCATCCAAAGGAATGTTTCATAGGAGATGCTCATATAATTTCTGCAATCAATAGAGATAAATTGGAAATAAAGCTTGTATATCCTTTCGGTTGCACAATGAATGTAATGAAGCCTAGTGTTATTTTATTTTCAAGCGGATTTGCATCATTTCCTGTAGATTGCCCCCTGGGGGCAGTATATTATAATGAAAAAACTGGAGGAAGATTGATAGCTGTTGGTTCCGGGCATATGTTTTCTGATAAATATCTTGACCAAGAAAATAACAACAAATTTGGAGAAATAATTATTGATTTTTTAAAAGATTCCAACAAAGTAATTTTTTTACCAAATGATCAAGACGATATTGATATATCCGACCGAAATATTGTCCCAGACACTGCAGAATTAGCTGAGAAACCCAAGGTTTGCCTCACAGATGTCACTGGCAGTACATCATACATGGATTACATGAAATTATTTGATCATAAAGTTTATTCAATGAATACCAATCTGGTTCTTGAAACATTAAAATTGTATGAAGAGTTAGGGGTGAAACATGTTCAATTGAAGATCATTACTCCAAAATTTGAAGCTCCATTTCCTGCACTTCAGCCTGCTGTTTTCCCACCTTCATTCCGAGAATTACCACCACCAATGTTGGAATTATTTGATTTAGATGAAGCTTTTAGCTCCATATATTCAAAGTTAGCGCAATTTACGAATAAATATATGTTGTCCCCAAATATTGATCAAAATGATGAAAACCTTTTGGAAATGTACATATCTACTTGTGCCAGAATTATGAACAGCTATAGTGCAAATGGTGTGAAAGACATTCTGTTCATTATGGGTAAGGAAATTGCTGATTTTAAGAGTGTTGATAATTTCAATATCTGAGAATGTTAAGAATGTTAAAAAAAACTTGGGTTTTAAAAAAATCTGGCATTTTTATTAACTAAAAACCTATTGGATCACCAGCTCATAAAATTGTACATGATCCTGTATTTAGATCCATGGAAGGTGGCAATTCACCTTTAATTTCTTTTGATTTTACATTAAGATATGAATTTTCATATTCTTTCTGCAAATATTCAGGCAGAGGGCAATTCCAATTTTCTGGCGGTTCTTTCCTTCTTTTCCATATATTGTTCCTTACATGATTTAGAAGTCTATCTTTTCTTTTCTCTTTCTCTGATTCGATAAGTTCTTTCTACAATATAATATTACAAATTTTCTGGCTGTCCTAGCATCATTAAAATCCTACTGACCCCAGCATTGACGTCTTTCTTTTCAGTCCATTTGTAGCAATTAATTGAATCTCGTTTCCATTGTGAACAGTTTATCATGTGGCCAAAAATAAAATACTGATGAAATCTGGCTTTGATAGAAGTGCAGTCACTATATTCTTCATCATAAACTTGACAATTTCGAATCTACAATCAAGGGTAAGGAAAATTTGAGTATTTTGTTCCTATAATTGTGCGTACCAACCACTCATCTTCAATGCATTCCGCCGGCCGATTATTTTCGGACGACATTGCTTATGTTTCAAGTTTGACTAATTATTAAGTATAATAGAATTCAATAAAACTTCAACTTATATTTAGGTTATGTAATCATTACTAAAGTTAGCCTCAATCCGGAGTCTGTCACATCATGCAAAGTTTATTTTTGGTTCCATACGATTTAAATTTGCTAAAAATTTCACAAATAATTTTCTTTTTAATTAATCTATCTTTAAAAAACATACTGATATGTTTATTAATTTAACGGCTATGTACCAAAGGATAAAAAGGTAACCATCAAATGTAAAATCACAAAAATAGTCAGTCAATGTTTTTGTTATGAGAATATTTAACCATTTATCTTCGCCCGACAAAGTTCAGGACAATATAGTATGTAATTGTTGCCAAGGCATAGGGAAGTTATCATAACACCGAAATTTAGTTTTCTAGATACAATTTTCTACCAGTAAAACTGGAGCGCTACAGTTTGATTCGTACGCTACCACACTTTTTGGAGAAATATTTCTTTGTAGTCTACGCAGTCATCTCTATATAGCCACCTAACAGCTAATTAATAATACTATACAGGGTAACTTAACATTCTCATAAAAAATGTATTTCATTTTTTTTAAATCATAGCTCGCTGTCTTTGATCCTACTTACAATTATATTAGTTGAAATTAGTACAAATCTCAATCTCAACTTTTATTGCCATTTGAACTTAAAAACAATGCACATATTTTAATTTTATATATGTATTATATAGATGTTGCTAAATATACTTAGCAAGAGATGAATTTGTTGCAATAGTTTTAGAGTTTTCAACTTAACTTAAACTTAAGTATTTGTTTGTTTTGTAAGTTAATCATTTCCTTAAGTTTTAGAATGTTAAAATATATTTTTTTAAGATGAAAAATATCTGACTCAGCGCAAACAATTAAAATGCTTATCATTTTTTTGCCTAGATATTAGATAACATCAATTTTTTTTATCAGCCACGGTGTTCAGATAATTGGAAAATCTACATTTAATTCATTTTTCTTTCAGAAAAACATGGCTCAAATGGTTGGAAAGTACATTCACGAAAAAAGCGAAAATTTGGACGAATACTTCAAAGCCATAGGTGCGCGATTAAAAAACAGCTTTCAGATTATCATTATTTTCCGCAACGTCGTTCTTTTTTGGATTAGTTTAGATAATTTCATGTAAACGTAGCAATTAATAACGTTCTTGTAGGAGTACCATATATACCCAGGAAAATGATGATCGCTTCAAATCCAACTGTGGAAGTGACTACTTCGGAAGATGGCCAGTGGTCAATAACAATTACTACCCTTTTTAGGACAGTATCTTACAAATTTAATCTTGGGGAGGAATATGAAGAGCACATGCCTGGTGCTACAATAAAGGTACTATTTTCCTAAGCCAGAAACTATATGCAGGTGGTAAACTTCTTGAATTTAAAATATGGTTAGCCAATTGGTTAAGCCTGAATAAATTACTTTTACCAAGCGCAACCTCACTTTTTTGTTTAAAATTTTGGAGGTATTTTCCTTTGAATTTAGATCTTTTACTTTATTTGTTAAAAGACCATTTGAGAAATTAACTGAAACTGAAATTACCCTGAATATTTTGACCCGATTCGCATGGATAGTAACATGTTTATTTATTTCTTATCTCTAAAATCAAAAAATTAGAAACTATCAGGGCCATATTTTAAAAAACAACTTTACAATTTAATCGATTTTATTTGTAAACAAAGACTCAACTTTACAGATAGGCACTGAAAACTGCTTATGTAAGTTTCCGGGGATTTTAGATTTACCACAGTTCTGCTTTTTTTCCAGAGCATTACAACAATCGAAGGGGACAAATTAATTACTCAATGTATTAGTCCAGACAATACTCACACCACACGGGTGTATTCATTTTCGGAAGATGGTTTAATAATAGTAAGTTTATTCACCTTTTTAAAATACATTCACAAAGTTTTGAACTCTCTTCTCTTATGTTTAGAGCTATAAACATGAAGAATCAGGAAAGGAGGCTATTCGTCACTTTAAAAGGGTATAATACTTGACAGAAAAATATAAAATTTCTAACAATGCAATTATTACTTTTCCTTTCTAACTTTACAAAATGTTTACAATAAGATTATTGCCCTGGTTGAGCCCATAACCCAAACAAAAACTATATCCAAAATTTTAATTATTTATTTATTTGTTTTCCTGACTAATTAACAAAATCATTTTAAAAAAATGAAAACTCTATTCATGAAACAATTAACCGAATATTTTCATTATTGATATTTTAAATAAAGTGTATCCTGGACCTAAACATAAAATTGACAATGAACAAACCAGTGATTAATAAATAAAATTAGTTTCCCTTGCAAGCCATATTAGTCGCAAACAATACCTTCTGTTTTGTTTTCTTCTTTTTTTTCTTTCCTGCTTCCACCAGAGTTCCTAAAGCGATATAAACAAATTAAAAATATAAAAATAAAAAATAATTAAAAAAAATATTCTATTCTAAACTAAGCACCTCCTGACAGGGTTCGTTGCAAAAAATTGTTTTACATATCGCAAAATAAAAAAGAAAAACATATAAAATGTGTGGACAATAATTAATAATAAACACACCAAGAACTTTTTTTTTTTAATAAGGTATTAAGTTAAGAATTAAGTTAAAGTAGGCCGAGTTTGAGTATAACAAAAGTGATGTAGCTTGAAGCAGATATGGAATTCTACTGAAGTAACCCACCAATTTTAATTTGTCTAAAGATTACAAATTCACTCAGCACCCTTATTCTAAAAATACAGTTACTACTGTTAGATTGGACATATAAACAAAAGCTATTTAAACATGTACCCAAATTCCCAAAACTTAGCATTCAGTTAAACGCGGCCACTTACCAACTTCGACATTGTTTGTTTCATTCTTCGCTAGTGCTTGAGCTAGAGCATCACCAAAACTACTATGGTAGCTAGGAACCGGCTCATAATCATCTGGCTCGGGATCGCTATCTGGTCTGGCATGTGTTTTTGTTGGGATGGTCATTTTCAAACCCGTCACAGGTATAAGTTTTAAGGGTGGAGCTTGAAGGAGCGGTAGTTTTGAAGTATGCCAGACAGGCAACTCCTTTTTTTTATCAGATGCAAGCATCTAAACATGGACATCAAAATGTGGATCAGCAGAAAAAATGATATAACTTTCGATTTTGGGATGATTTTCTTGTACAAGAGCAAAAATATCAAAAAATGACTAAATAACTTGCTAAACTCAAAACTAAAACCCTTTACCTAATACATTTTCAAAAATAGTGATATATTTTTAAAATAATCCTTTGCGATTTTTATCCATATCAGGATGTAGTAGAGGGGACTGACCTTGATGTCCATAGCCATGGAAACAAGGTTAATTATCCTCACAGTGATCTGGCACAGGACTCAAAATGAATATGTTAAATCCATAGACATTTGAAGATTACTCTGTGCACCAAGAAATGACTACAAAATTGACTTACAGTTGCAAATGACGGGCCTGCAGTACAACTGTCCAGTGAAAAACCTGAAGGAGATGAAAAATCTGGCGACGAACTTCTGTCGCTAATAGTCTCGGATTGAGATCTTGTCCTGTGTTCTGAACCGACTTCTGGAAATTGAACATGGACTTCACTTACGCCAGGGAACTGATCGTGGGATTCTAGGTGTAAATTCGGAGCAGTGAACTTTCCAATTTTGCGATTCTCTTCTGCCTCTATTCTCTTCTCCCGCCGCTTTTCTTCTTTCACCCTGCGCTGTCGCCTTCTCCTTCTATTCTCAAGTTGTTCTGTAAAGGAATTACTTCGTTTAGAAGATTACTCCGCATACCTGCTTTTCTTCAGATTTTGAGGTTTTGAGTGCCTTAGGCATTAGTGCTGGAAGCAGTGTTATTTATAATATATGTCAGACCTTGCTGAGCACATGACGTGCAACATTAGTATATATGCTGGCCATACTAAGGTTTTTGGCAACCCAACTTTACAGCATGGGGCCCTAGTTGAAGATTTAGCTAAACTAGAAAGATGGACAAGGGACTAAAGTTTCATCAGACCAGTCCTGGAACATGCTGTAGTGGTGTGGTCTCCATGCTTCCAAAAGGACGTAAATCTTGTGGAACGGGTCAGAGGCGAGCAACAAAAAACCCACCATCTTTAAGGATTGATTAAAATGTCTTCTTTGAACCACCTTAGAAGAAAGAAGAAGGAGGGGGGGGGGCTTAATTGAATGCTACAAAGTCATGCATGGCCATTACTCATGTGATATTGACTTTTTTCATCGAAATAATAACCTAAAATTCACTAAAATTGTGTACTGAAATCTGTCACAGACTTTCACGCCAAAAATTTATAACAAACCATATTGTAAATGAGTGGAACAGTTTATCAGATGATGTTGTGACTGCACCTACTCTGAATAGCTTTAAGAATAGATAATTTTGTAAATATACAGTCAACACATTGTCAATATTCTTCTGTATATAGTGCAGATCCATATACTAGTGCAGTTTTACCGGATTTGCCACCTACTGCCTCATAGTATAATAATAAAAATATTAACATATCATTCATAATATGAGAATCAATCATAAATTTTTAGGAAGTTTAAAATCTATTGGTTTTGCAAGATCCCATTCCCCTTGAAAATACTTAATGAAAACAATCCTGTGTTATTAGGGAGGAAGAATTCTGGAAGTCACATCTTTTATTTTACAATAAGTGGGTATTACACTGTTACCTATCCAAATAAACTCATATTATATCATATCGGTTATAGTTTCCAGTCTTTAGGCATAAAATACATTGGTAACTACTAAATGTTTATATTTTTAACTGTAAATTTTTGCAAATACTTGCAGGACACAAACTGGCATTGAATGAATAATTACAACAATTTGACTTTTGATTAAACTTTCTGTAAATGCTATAGCACTTCTGTGTTTAAATGCGTTTGCTTAATTAACTTCGTTTTAATAAAAAAATACTGATCCGTATAAATATAGATTCTTGAAAGTCATTTTGGGACCATATTACTAAGGAACTTACCGGAAAAATATTTAAGAGTGTCCTCTGTAACAATTGTTTCAGTTAACTGAATTTCAGCAATTTCAAATTGACATGTCACTGGCAAATGTTGCAGATATCTCAGCTTCTTCCTAAGTTCTTCAGTCATTGATCCTCCTTCCTTCTCTAGGATCCTCCCAGATAACATTGTAGGTCCATATTCTAAAGAGCCATAAGTATGTTCAATCATTTTAGCATTTATGGCATGAAGATATATGTGTTGGCCATCAGATGCTAAAATCATTGTGATTAGGACAATTAAAAATAGAAATTCGCAAATACCTTGATAAAAATAATGGAATTTTTGGGCAGATGTGCTATCTTCCCCAGACTCTGCACCAGATTCAGCATTGACAGCTTCATCTTCGAGACTTCCTTGATCACCCTGAAGAGTTAAATCAACCAAATTCTGCACTGAGTTGTCGCAAGTTTGTTGAACAATGTTATCACGTCTCAATTTTAGTAAAGTCACAGCTTGTTCAATGAAACACTTTTCAGGGCAGTTCTCGTCCTCTGCCATTTGAACTTCTAGTTCAATAGATTCGCGATCAATTATGGAAAGGATATTTGCTTTACTTGCGAGAATAAGTTTGGAATAAAAATTATGACTATTTTCATCAGACATTCTGAACAGCTCATCTTCAGACAGTACGTTCACTTCGGCAGGGTAGGCTGTGAGGCTTCCACGAGGTCTCTTCATTAACTTAAATTTTATTGTTTCATTAACTTTAAAAGTTTTAAAAGGAATCGCAACTACACTGAAAATTGAGAAAAAACAAGTTATTGCTATATTCACCACTGTATAAAAATAACATATATACCTTCTAAGATCACTTTTTTTAACAGAGTCAAAACAAATAGGGCACTTTCTCCAATCTTTATCCGAAAGAGCCAAATAATGAAGAATACAAGACCAGCAATAAATATGACCGCACTTGGTCATTTTTGCAGCAACAGGTGGATACAAACATATGGGGCATGATGGATTTTCAGACACTTGCAAATTCTATAAATAAATTACATACCCTCAGGGAGTAACCTCACTTTATATCTTTTTAAATTTGTCACGTTTGTACAAAAATAACCAGATGTTTACCATAAAATAAATCAATTTTTGGAGTCATTTTAGGGCAAAAGTCAAATTTAAATAATAATTAAAATTTGGAATATCTAACTGGAATTAAAATTTTTAGTTCTCCAATATGCAAAGCCTTTAATTACATGAAAAGTCAGTATCTGATTTAACATACATTCACGCAACATCAAATATGACGGGAACTACAGGTAAATCAGTTTGCTATACCAAAGCTTCAATTTCACACAGCTGATGTATACAGTCAGTATGTACTCAACACTTTGGATAATACTACTTACTCTTTTTGTTAAAAATATTTTTTTAAGCAAAAGTTGGTATGAAGTTTGTGAATTTTAATTGTAACATTAATTAAAATTGCACTCACCACTTGCTCAACCAAATCCCAACTGACCAATGAATCTGGATTACTCATGTACTTCTTATAATCACCCAGTTCATTTACAATAAACTGGCAACTATAATAAAAATATCATTTAAGCTACTCAATACAACTACATCATAAAAATAAATAAGTTCAACCATTAAGGCATACAGCATGTTCTTACTTTGCTTGCAAAAAGTGTTCCTTGTTGTATTTATGTTTCCGAGTCACAAGCAAACTTCCTGACTTGCCAAAACCTTTATAACCATGGTAACTGTCCCGAGGCGCATAAGAAAAATTCAATAAGTGATTGAGACTTTGCTTTTTGCTGCCCGGTACAAAAACTGAGCCCAATTCTGGTTCTATTTCATCTAGCCTGGTCGTCTCATCTCGAGGTGTCGAATTTGCGTAATAGAAACCTCGAGGTTTCGGACGCTTGTCAATGGTTTTGACGCGTTGCGGTTGAGGTTTGCGGGAAGGTTCATTTTTTGCTGAAAATCCTGGGCCATTTGGTTCACGACGTCTAGTACCCCTTGGCCATTGTTTGCTACTGGTAACATCTAACAAACCAATAATACTAAATAATCATTATCAAATATTAGACAGACTTTTGTAAATTTTGGTTATTTAGGCGTTGCGCATTACAATTTCAATTAACGTCGTTCAATTTAATAGAATTTAATGTTAACAATATTGAAGTGATCAAAATGCGCCATGCAGATTACACATGACCTTGGCAATTGCGCAACAAATAATTTGCCAGAATTTTACAAACCTTGGATTTTCCTCAAGTCAGTTGCTGACCCCCTCGAAGAATTTGAAAAATTGCGATTCCCTTTCTTCTCCATCTCTCCTTCCTCCAGCCTTAACAACTAAGATATTTTGGGAGTTTGACGCTCCTCCAAAGGGAGTATCAATGTAAGATTTCAGAACAGACATTTTAAAAAGCCATGTTTACAAATTCCTAATATAAAAAAACAAATCTGCGGTCAATTGTCGATTTAAAATGAGAGCAAAAAAGATGCTGTGAAGATCTACAGAAATTTTCGGGAGCAGGAAACTCCCCGGTCGTCGAAACCGACGATAAATTGCCGGAAAACACTAGCACGAAACGCCGCGGTAATGGCGACGGAAATAAAAAAAAAGCTGCTTCCCCAGGAGTGGGGCGACAGGTTGACATGTAATTTAATACCAACTGAGAGACGACGAATGCCTCTGAAAAATCTAAAGAAATATTAATCGGAGATTACAAAAAACAATTCTCTAGTTACTTATTAAACATATTGCAAGTTTCAAAACATTTCTTCAAAGAAACTTCCGCATTCTGTGGAACAATATAGCTATTAGATAATACAGTGATTTGTTTCCGTAGAAGGTAATGATTTTCCACCTATGCCTTTACCTTTACTTTGCGGCATTTTCTTTCCGAACGATTTTTCAGAAAATTTAATGAGATCTAGGCATATTTTTACAAAATACTGCCGTAAAAATGCTGCATCCAAACTTATTGAAGATGTCAATGGTCATGTTGGTTGCAAAATAACGCAAGTCTCGCACAAGTGCATGTTGACTGGAGCTTCTCAATTTTTTTACACAATTGTTCATGGGTTGCTGTATTATCAGCATATGCAGGCCCTTAAAATGTCTAGTAGCCATATGTGTGGAAAATATGTACCTGCAGGTTTTAAAAGGTACAACGTTTTGGCAATCATGACATTATATATATATATAACCATATAACCACTAGAAATATAAAGAGGCCTTGCCTAATAAAACAGGAACTTACGAAGCGACTATGAAAAATTTTTGAGAAAGTCTATTCAAGATTCAAGTCTGTGGATATCACTATTTAGAATGAAAATGTGAATGCCACACTTGAAAGTTTGTGTTAGGGATTTTGTGCTTTTGTTGTACCATGGAGAGTGGGACTTTATTGATAATTGTTGTCTGCTTGGGATTTAAATAAGCTTGGAACTTAGTGAATAAAATGTTCCTTTTCTAGTATATACAAGTATCTATTTTATCAAAAAATTTTAGATTGTGAATATTTCCTTCAACAATCTTTTATCATATAATAAAAGCGGTTCCTACATTAACATAAATTGTTACATCGGTACTGGTTTAATACACAAATATGTTACTGTACATTTTATATAATACAAAACAAAGGACAACAAAGAATAGTAGCATTTGAAATTATTATTTAATATCATAATAACTTTCAAGAACAGTAGTCATTTATTTGGTTTAATATTGTGTAAAAGCTGAACTAAAACTTTGGTAGACAGTGTTTTACATAGCATCAAAATGAAACCTATGAGACTCTGATAGCCTTTCCTTCTTATCCTCTTGCCTTTCCTTCCAATGCAAAACCCCAATTATCACAGTTATAATGCCACAAACCGCAGTTAATGCAGCAACAGACATCAATATCAATTTGCTTGGAGTGACAAATAACTGTGCTTTCCACTTATATGGTTGATCCGGAGGCCACGGGATCACCACCATCTGGGAGTTAGGAATGATTTGCGTCCAAGATTTGTGATTTTCAGAAAGACCTACTGTAACAGAGTCAACAAAATTCGGAGTCCTTCCTAAACCAAACGTTGTGTAAGGTAAATTTAAACTAAAATGAGCAGACTGTGGAAGCTGTGCTGATATTCCATGCCGCAAACTGCCTTCTTGTGTAGTGGTTTTGTATGAAATAAGAGGTCCTGGCAGATTAGTACCGTAGGTACGTCTTTTCTTACCCACCCTACCCATAATCATCTGATTATTTTTGTTTGTTAAACCAGTCAATACCATCACTTTTATAAAGTTGGCATCATAGTCCAGACTATTCCTGAATGCAGCAGCATGATATTCTTTGCCATTGTAAGTTACTATGATACAATCCAATATTCCATCTTGATAAAAGTCAAAGAAGGAAGCCATTGCAGTGCCATTTCTAAAAGGACTTAAAGCATTCCAGTTTATAGCATATGACCGTTTAAATTTCCCGCATCCCGATTTGCAAGCAACATTTTCTAATAAGAATGACTGGGGGTAATCACTGCCTTCGCGTGCCAATGTGGCCAACATATCTGGATATCCATCCATATTAAAATCCCCACTTCTTAGTGTAATAGTATCAGTGTATCTACTTCCTGGTTTCAAGTAAAACCGCCAAAGATTTGAGTTGTCATCTTTGAAATTTACCTGCAAATTTAACCATTCACCATCTGAATATACCATTAGGGCACTAGACGTGCAAAACTCATTATAGCATATTGGTGTAACTAAATCCATATGACCCCGCAATTCAACATCGATGAATATAGACTGACCAATTACTTTTGCATCTTTAGGAAATTGAATTACCGAATTGTATACAAATTTTCCAGGAGTTTTGCTACCAAGCCATATTTCAGCAGTGTTTTCTTTGGTTGTTATAAATAAATCAGACATAAAATCGCCGCTGAGATCTAAAAAAAAATAATTAAATATTGTTTAAAAACTAAATAACTTTTCATGTTTCAAAGAAACTTCCATAGGCTACTGTTATACTTTTTATAAAACTTCTGGATTCATCCTCCGTCGATTTTTGTTGAGTCAAACTAGCTAACATTTCGCCAATCATCCTGTTGGCTTCTTCAGAGCGTGACTGAAAGTTTCAGTTAGCTAGTTCGACCCAACAAAAACCGACACAGGAGGAATCCAGAAGTTTTACAAAAAATAGCCATTTGGGAAAGATAATAATTTATAAAACATGAAATAAAAAAGAATTTAATGAAATTTGATTTTAAAATATACAAAATGTATTAATAAACCTGATTATTGTATTTACCTAAAAATGCATGAGCATGAGGTCTTCTTAACTCTGCCCTACTTCTATTATCTTCCATAGGTATTGCTTGTGGTGGCCCTCTGGTGTTATTAAATACCCAAAACATTCGATTATTATGTTCATCTTGTCCAAATAAATCAATTATCAAATCTTGATTGTAATCAAATGCTAATGGTTGTCCAATCATTTGAATAATCGGTTTTTCTTCATCACTGCAATTCAAGTACGTAGCTCCTCCCCACAAAATATGCACATAAGTTAAGGATCGTTCAAGTTCGCTGTCTTGTTCGGTTCTCTTGTGAATGGTAGTCACCATAACATCCATCAAAGCATCTCCGTCAAAGTCCCCTGGTACCACACTTGTAATAATGGAATTGCTAAATGGACACCTTAAACGTTCTTGTTTGGCTGGTCTTAACAAAGGTTCTTCTTCATAGGCCAATAATATCTCAAGAGTTTTTTGGTTATCCAGCAAGACAAACACATCTGTAAGTTCATCCGAATTGAAATCACCAAAAGCTGCCGGCATGCCATCCGTAAATCCCGAAAATACTAGATGAGTAATATCGCTGGACCATACAACTCCAAAAACTAAACATTGTGTTCCAATTAAAAAGGTCACCCATTGAAGATTCATTATTATTTTTAACTGTTTGCACAATTTAAACTACATAATTACACCCAAACTATACTAAAAAGCTACAAATTTAAGAGAAAGTCTTTTTTTTTCCTGAAAATGTAATAGCTTTGCAAATAGTGCTAATCCTCTTTACATTGATTTGTCAAGGGATTTGTCATTTACAGTGCTTACTTTCTGTGTTCATAGATAAAACCAATTGGTAAGTCACTATTCTACAGAACAAGAAAGACAGAGTCGCCAACATTGCAAAATTTATTACAAAATTAAATGGAAATCGTAAATTTAATAAATAAAATGTTATGTTTAGTTAATTATGCAGTTATATAAATAATTATAAAAATTAAAAATTATAGCTCATTCTTAACCCTTTTTCATTATGGATAACAACACCAGTGAGATGAACGTCGCAGCAGGTAGAGTATGATTTGTAGTGGAGTGACGTTTGTGGCCCAGTTGGAATAAATTTCGTACTTTATTTTTAAATACTGTAAAAGCTTAATATAAGCCGTGTTTTCATAATCTAGCTCCCATATGATAAGGTTCTTAAGATTTTCCGTTGGAGCAATCCAGGATTGGGAATTAAGATCCATGCGCGGAAGTCTTTTGTTGTTTGGAATTGTTGTCATATGTGGTGACTAATTGTTTACGATAAATTTCCGCCATAAATTTATCACATACAGCGCGCGCCGTTAAGAATTTCTTTCAAATCAAGTAGGACTCCACGTCGCGAAAATGTCATAGTTATGTTTTTTAATATTATTTTTACTTTTGTTACAAGAGTTTGACGGAGCAACAAAAGTGAGAGTTTATTTTAAGTACATTTATTTTTAATGTCTATCGAACAAGAACATAATAGAGACGAGCAACGTAAATTAACTGATCATGTTACAATCGGATGCGGGAAGTTTCAAGAACCATCTAACAGAAGTAAGAACTACTATATCTTCGCCGGCCTTGCATCTGTCGTAGTCTGTACGTGAGCGTGTACAACCCATCCGTACACGAGCACTTAGTTGAAATTCATCAAATATTTTTATACTGTTTATAAGTTCTTTTCATGATAGATTTTATAATTTCGAGTTCTAATAAATAATATGTGTATTTGCTATCGTCGAACCATTTCTATATTAGATAACAACTATAACTACCCTGCAAGGTTTGCAACCTTAAACACACCAATAAGACTGTGGATAAAACAGTGACCGCGGCGCACAATAACCTCAGGCTGTTTCAATTTAGATTAACTAAAATTGCTAAGAAACAAAAAAGGTAAAGTTGAAATGGATATTCAACGTTAAAAAACAATGCCTATTAGTACAGTCAGATCATATTGATCACTTGCACTTGCCAGCATCCAATTTGGAAGTAATTTTCCGGTCTGGAGGGAGCTTAGTGGGAGTTAGATAATTATTTGCCGTATTTCACGAGCCGCAAAGGCATTTTTGTGACAGTAGGTGACACCCAGGCAGGCTTTATATTTTGTGTGAGATGTTCCTGTGTTATGGTTGGCAGGTGGCCAGGACGCCTTGCTTATGTGGCGTCGCGACCGGGCGCTTTAACGGTCCTGAAACTCCCGGTATCGTTGCAGACGAAGACGGAAGATAGAACGGCTATTACGTTGTCCGTAGCGTTGAAAGATAAATTACAACTTATGATTTTAATGCGAGTTCGAAAGGGACATATTTGTTACATTGAAATTACTTTAAAGAAATTTTAAATAGCTCGTTTAGGTATTATTGTAAGCAATGTGATTGTATAAATAGAGGCGGATATAGTTAAAGATAAGAACTAGTAATTTAAAGATTTAAATAATTGCAAATAGGCATTACTCTCGTGCATATACAGTTCGTACAGAGAGGACATGCCACATCACACTGTTTTTTTTTAGGAAGTAATTTTGAGTCTTGAGTCAATTTAGTAGTAGCAAAGTTAAAGACTATCTTTTCTTGTGTTATAGTAAGTTACTTATTTAAAGTTTTTTTCCCTTATGTTACATTACATTGTAAAAATGTTCTTTATTTACTTACCTGCTCTCCTTTTATGACGTGATAGCCATCTTATTATTATTAGGTATTTCTGACGAGAAATGCAGGTTTCATAAAGTTAGCTGTGAGAATAGCAACAAACCACAACAAACTTCGCTTTGTACAACACATCACTGAAAACATATAAAAGTATTAAATAATGGACATATCTTGAGGAAGTACTTTTGAAAACGCCAAGCCAAACTAAATTACCGTGCTTCATTTCAATTACATACAAAAAGTAAATTGGAAATTGACAGAATCGTCATAAAAAGCACCTATACATCACTTTCGAAACATCTATAATAATAATATAATCTTTATTTAGCATTATGCTACATAAAAAATACAAAATACAAATTCTAAATACAAAATATAAAATTCCAGATAAACGGAAACCAAAAGCCAAACACACAGAAATCAGAATTTTGACAATACATGGCGTCTTAAAAGTCTTTTAAATTCATTAAGAAAATCACAATTTTTAATATCATGTGGTAAATTGTTAAAATGGGTTAGGCCTTTATGTAATATAGAGTTTTGTACATGACTAGAATAGCATTCTCTTAACATAAAATTACCACAATTCCTTGTATTGTAAGAATGAATGTCTCTGAAATAGGTAACTTTTTCACAAACATAATTGGGAACACACTGCAGTTTAATTTTAAACATAAATACATAGACATTAAATATTACTTTTTATTTTACAGACAAGAAATTAAGAACACCCAACATGCTTTGAATCGGCGTATATCTGTTACACTTTAGTATATTTCTCATGGCTCTATTTTGAACAATCTGCAATTGCTCCAATTTATAATTATGCAAATTGAACAAAAGTGTGGAACAAAATTCTAAATGGGGAGCAACTAGGCTGTTATACAATAAGATTTTGTTGTCAATTGACAAATTTTTCCCTATTCTAGATATAAAATTAGTCTTTTTAGAAAATTTATTCATTATGAAATCGGCATGTGTATGAAACGTCAAATTTGAGTCAAATATAACACCCAGATATTTAGTTTCGTTTTCATGAATTAATTTTTTGTTGTTAATATAAATGTTTACATCAAAATTTACTTAACTCAATTTATGTCGTTTACCAAAAATACAAAATTTTGACTTTTCCGGGTTTATACAAAGGTTATTATTGCACAGCCATTCAAAAGCTTTCTGCAGATCGGCATTCATTTTTCTTTGCATTTCATCCACATTTTCACCCACAATAAAAATCATAGTGTCATCCGCAAATAATACCGCTTTAGTATCATCTAAAATATTTAAAATATCGTTTATATACATAAGAAACAACAATGGTCCCAAAACTGTCCCCTGAGGAACACCATGTTCCACAGTTATGCAATCAGATATGCAATTTTTATATTTCGTTTTTTGTACCCTATCTGTTAAATACGAACAAAGCCATTTATACGCTGTTCCCTTAATACCCATTTTGTAAAATTTTCTTAACAGTCTAGTTCTACTTATTGTTTCGAAAGCACGCCTAAAATCCAAAAATACAGCCAACACAAATTTACCATCCTCCAAGGCCCTCAATAAATCATCACAGACAGTAACGACGACTGATTCGCATGAATGTTTGGAGTTGTTGAAAGTCCGACTGGTTAGGCACTAAAATATTGTTTACGTCACAATAGCCTAGCAGCTGCTGTTTCACCACAACCTCAAGAACCTTCTCATAAACTGGAACGGTATTAATTGGTCTAAACTCTTGAAATAGCTTGGTGTTCGAAACCTTCTGTACAGGGATCACCATTGATGTCTTCCATGCCTCCGGAAAAATTTCACTCGTAAGGGAGGTGTTCACAATGTGCAACAATCGATTTCCAACAACTGCACAGGCATTACACTCTTTGAGATACCACACTCATCACCAGGCACATTTTTTAATTTTCTTATTATTTTTTTTAGGTCCTGCATAGTTATGGTATTAAACTGATCTATTTCTCCATAAGTTGATATTGGTGATATCATTCACAGCCTGAGCTGGCGGAATGCCAGTCAAAATATTTTGAACACTGTCTATAAAATACCTATTAAATTCATTAGCTATGTCTTGCTTAAGTGAAGCAATTCGCCAAGGGAAGGGAAGGAAAAACCAATAAGCAAGGAGAACATTCAAAAAATTTAGGGAATGATAATGGAATGACTTAAAACGAATCAAATATTGAAAACAACTTTCACCTACAATATATGGCATGAAATAGGTTGCATAAACGTTATGACGTGGTTTGGAAATATCAAACAATTTTTAAAGCTGCTTTAATAGTGTCCCGGACGAACAAATCACTAAAATCACGGAAAACATTTAAAAATAACTTGCAGCGCATGGGTAAAAAATAGCTAAACGAAAATAAAATAGTTGGTCTATTTTTATTTTGTCATAAATACATTTACAAATATTATTATTATTTGAGGAGAAGCGATTTGCATGCAGCTTTTATGGCATGATGGGAGGAACGAACACTGCGCTGAGTCCGTCTATACATGGGATAAAAATCTTTATTAAAATTACATTTGAGAAATCGAAATTTAAAAAGTATAAAAAACAACGATCATAACAGAGTAACATAATTGATAAAAGACTGCGTGCCATTTATCTTGATTGGCTGTATCTTTTTTGTTTTTAAACATATCAAGGTAAATAAAATAATAAAATGCAGGGTTAGCAACCAAGTTTTTTTCTTAATTGACATGTGAAACCAAAAACTAACAATTTTCTGAAATCTCAACCTAATCGATATTTAAAAAAAAATGAAACACCCAGTTTATGTTATCGGTATTTAATAGAACATGTTATTCTGATTATAATTATATAACACGCTTTATATTTTAATCCACTTGTTTTCGAGATATGGGCAAAAATATATGTTTGAAAACTTGCACAAAAATTGGAAGCCACCAGTAACGAGTTAATTGTGAAAAACGAAAATAAAACAAATATTTTTCGTTGACTACAACAAAAAGATTTAATAGACAAAGTACGCGATACTGGTCTATAAATAAACCTAGAGAAATGCATGAAATATCTACCCCTAAATACATTAACACAAATAACATGGCAACAAGATGGTGCGCTTTCTCTCAATGTCATCAAGATCAAACATTTTCTAAGTATGGAGGGGTTGGATGGGGAACTATTGCTTAAACAGCCAATAGGCCGGACCTGACTTCAATGGATTTCTTCTTTTGAGGGCACATAAAAAATAAAGTGCACAAAACTCCTAGTGAGAGTGTCCTGCAAATACAACAATATTAATATCTTCATTTGACAATTGTAATAAAATAAAAAACACTTATTTTGGTCAATATTTCAAAAACAATAAATATAAATATATTATATACACAGGTGAAATAACGTGTTCCATTAAAAAAAATACAGCATGTTCCATTTAAAAATATATCAAATATGCTGAGATCTCAGAAGAGTTTTGTTCTACATCGAAAAAACTCACTCTACATATTGTTTTTTATATCTGTGACTATTGTTGACGACATTTAAACAACTCTATCCATCATTTACAGCTCTTTGTTGCGCCACAATAGTCAACATTCACACAGCTGCTTTACAGCTGCGAGGGACGAGCTGAGGAACTGAAGTTGGAGCTTCTCCAGCCCCATGTTGAATTCAAAGTTTCTCCTCCTTTCGCAATGGTTCCTAAGACAGATATCTGCAATAAAATTTTCGACAAAGATACGCCAATTAGTGATTTCCATAAGAATTTATTGACTATTTGTCAATAAAGAGGGTTTTATGGACAACTGATTAACATATATTGGAATCAATAGGAATTTCCGTTCTAACTGATAGCTGCAAAAAAAATTCCTTGTTGTTGTGTAGAGATCCATTTTCTTACTCATTATCTGTCGTTCTCAGCAGGATAAAGAAATTCGCTTTTTGAGAGTTGTTCATGGAAATATGAAGGAAAGGGCGACTTAAAAAAATCGTTCCAAAGTTAATATTTTATTAGCCCATGCGATTAGTTGCTGCGACACTACTTCTGCCGTTTTTGCGAAGGAAGAATCACAGACTATGAACTTAATAGATACAAGAAATAATTTACAATAAGTGGTCGCCTTATACACACTGCACTATCGGTTTATATTATTTACTCAGTTAGTTGGTCAAGCGAGTCACTCAGTCATTTTGTCTAGACTACCACACACACACACACACACACAGAGACACACCCTCACACACATCTGTTGCGTAAACACAACATTCAAGTCGCGTTTTTCATCAAATTCATTTGTGTTAAATACAACTAAGTGGAAAGTGAAAAAAAGCTGGTGAACGATTTTGCAGAGGCAGATAATTAAACAGTTGTATTTAATTAGTGGAATAGGCCTACAGGGCAACTACTGTTAAAAAATGAACCGAGAACTCGAATTTATTTCAAGGGTGGGGTGGAAACGACCTCAAAGTATATAATCACAGGTTAAAAAAATATCATTGGACCACCAACAGTTGCTAGTATTTTCTAGTTATTGCTTGTTAACTTAATATATAATAATAATATATAATAATATTTTTCAAAGATACCTCCACAGGCTACTGTAATACTTTCTATAAAACTTCTGGATTCCTCCTGCGTTAGTTTTTGCTGAGTCGAAATTGCTGACGTTTCGCCAATCATCTTGTTTCAGTTTCAGTGAAGCTCTGAAAGATACGGTTTACAAACAAGACTCTCACATGCGGCCGTGTGGTCCATTATTTCAAAAAATTTTGTGTTTTTATTTTACTACACTATTGGAAAAGACTAAATATGTATTCTAATTCCATAATGAATTGAAGTCGCATAATAATTAATGTAAACGCAGTTATTTTAAGAAGGCGTCGTCTTCTTTTCTTTGACTGTCGAACTGTCAAATTCTGTTTGAAAGTTAAACGTGCAAATGTGGTACGAAATAATACCTTCATTAATTATAGTTGGAGGCGGCATTGCCGTACCGCATGCTGTTGGTTACATTATGAACTACCTTTTTCTTGGAAATATGTATCGCCGTTCTTTAGAAACTCCGGAAAGACAGATGCAATATATCAGAGATACCAGGATTACCGGAAACCCCTACAAAGTCGCGAGTCTGGAGACAATTCCTGACGAACAAGAAGTTGATGGTGAAGATGTGAAATCAAAGTGAAACGTGTTGGCGAATGCGTGGACTGACGAACAAAAAGTTGATGGTGAAGATGTGAAATCAAAGTGAAACGTGTTGGCGAATTTGTGGACTAGTTTGAAAATTGAGTTTTGAGTGTGAGTTGTTGAGAATTTTTTCCATTATATGTTCTTCTAAGGTCTCGGAAATGGTTTAATGCTTTTAGACGGAATAAACCAATTATTTTTGAAGCTTCTAATTCGTTTTTCTCGTTATGAAAACCAATTTTCAACATCTTTATTTTAGATATTCTCAATAATCGACCAAAACTAACGTGATAAATTTTTGTCTATTCTCTACTCGAACGGATTGTTTCGGTAGTTTTTATCATTTTAGCATTTTCAAGTTGTAGTAAATTCTGACGGTCATGTCATACGTCAATCAGTAAAGGTGTTGTTTCGCAAAATTGTACCTAAAAACTAATATGTATATAGTATGTATGCATATGTTGATAAACTTCTGCAATTATTCATTTATTAATCACTCGCAAGCATTCACAAAACTAACCAATAATTTTATAATCAAACGGGACTCTATGATCTCCTAGCTAATATCTAACTTAACTTTGTAATTAACTTAATAAATAATAGATTAACATTATTAGTTAGTGGGCCCACAAAAGCAATAATTTTTGTTGGCGTGTTTATAAATATGGATTTAAATTAAATCATAAAAAAACATGAGGATGAATATACTTCAAAGCGTTAAGTATTTTTCCGAGGAATGCTTGCCACTCTATCTACGTTCTAATTGGTAAATGATCATTGTGCAAACTTAAACTAGACACGAGAAAGCAGAGAATATAGTTGTTTATAATAATTATAATAATATCTTTATTTCTCACATATTTAGAATACAATCACAGTGTATTATGGATTTTGTCAATTCAGTTAAAAATAAGTACATAATATAATGCATGCAAATGAGGTAGTAAATTACACTAGTTTTTTTAATTGAAGCAGTCTTTTTTATTTTCATTTTTATACACCCATAAACAAATGTCTAATGTTTTTACACGCTAAAGCAAGTATTTTAATCTTGCAGAATAGGAATTTCTGTTGCGATTTGAGAACAGATGTCGCAAAAAGGTTTTTTTTTTTTTTAGAAAACAAGAAAGTATAGAGTGTTCCAATATAGTTCGAGCGACTAGACATCCATAGAATTTTTTGTTTATTTTGTGGACACTACACTTGTTTTTGGACAAAAAAGTTTATTAAACTTCAACAGTCGTCAGCGAACGATGTTTAACCCAGACTAGATAGATGTGCAGAAAGTTCATTGATAAAATAAATTAAAGAGGGCCATTGTACCTTGCCTGAGTCGATATATTGGACGATGTAAATTAGACTAGAGTATAATACGTTCACATATTAGAGGGAGTTATTAACGCATTTTTTTATTATAAATAAAAGTTTCTGTAGCACATTCTGTAATTATTTTATCCAGTCAAAATCCAAAAGCATTTTATAACAAATCTGTGGAGTTTTTTCTTGAATATTATAGAGATGGCAACCGTTACAACGAGTATTTTTACCATCCATCGATTCTGTACCTAACTCATTAATATATATTAGTCATTTCAATAATACTTACATATTTCTTTATTCTTCAGATGATCCAAATTTTGTTTCTTGGGGACTGAGAACGTTGGTCCGTAACACACTCATCCATACTTCTGAATAGCGGCTTTGCGATCTCTTCGTGTTTCCTTTATAATTTTTCAACTCTGAAAATGTACTTTTATCGTTATGGGGCGTTTTATCTGCTGTTTATCTTAGTTTCCAATGTGCCAGTGATCCAAACACCGCAAACACCGACTAATATCTAATGTCACATCATCCATTGCTATAGAAGCGTGGAGGTCATCGTCAATTAGTTTAAACGTTGTACGGGCCCAGCTTATATTCTAATTACATTTGCATAGCAATGAGGCCATAAATTGTAATAAAAGGGGCAGGTTTTTACTGTTTTTAGGCATTACGTGTCGGCTAGGTTGGCATGTCTGTTACTATTAGCTGTTGCTGGCCCCTGATATGCAAATGTGATATATGGGCTAATCGATTTTTCTCTGGTCTGGCTTCACGAATGAGAATTTTATTAAGAGAGAAAAAAAATAGTGTCGGCATTTTTATATAAAACCCTTAGTCTGGCGTTATTGGCCTTATATCGCGTGATATGATTGACTGCGATAGTCAGCGACTTGTTTAATTTTAGGCGATGCCAGAAACTTACAAAAAGCCTTTAGGATATACAGGATGGACTTTTAAATCGGCACACAGGCGCGCGGTTGGATTTATTTTTAAATTTTAGTAAAGTCCATCGAAGGAACTGATGGAATAATGCAGCCGTTAAGTATGTGCGCACATTTATTTGGACGGTCTTAATAATAATAATAATCTTTATTGTCTAACAGATTAACATCGATTTAGAAGACAATTTCATCTTGAGAACTATATCTATAATTATAATAAGTAGTCAACTATATCCACTCCAGCAAAGTTATGGTGAAACATACAATCCATTACAACATTTCAAATTTACTTTTAATTAATGTGGTCAATATCATTGCAGAAATCCTTAAATAATTTCATCAACTAATAAAGAACACCTTTAATCAAAAAACTGGTTCTTGGAGTTACTAGGTGAAATACAGGTGACGCCCTTATAGTCATTGAGGAAACATGGAAGTTCAGCTGGCTCAGCAACTCAGGGCAATCCACTAAAGAATTGCCAAGTTTATATAAAAACTGAAATGAAAGGTACCTCCTATGATTCAACAGTCAGGGAACCTTAAACATTAGTAATAAATCACTCTGTGGCAGTCCTCTAGCTGGGTAGGAAGCATTTATTTGAAAGTGAAGAACTTTCTCTGTACGTTTTCAATTTGAGTGATGTACTTGAACCGTACTATAGTTTCGAGCGCACGTAACTATAGTATAACAGTTTTAAAGTATCTCTAGAGTTTCTCGCTATGAATCCCAGCATTTTGAATGCACTTCCACAGGCTTTATCAATATGATGAGTGACCCCGGAGCTCCACATACTGTATTCTGTTATGCAGATATGAATTTATGAATGCCACAAGGTCATTACAAAATCCAAGCGTCCTCAGTTTAGAGAGTAGAGCAGTACAGTGTGGTTTACCCGGTCAAAGGCCTTTGAAAAGTCTGTGTATAGCACATCCACCCGCCTCCCGTCGTCCAAAGCCTTAGCAGTGAATTCTGTAAAGCAAGCCAAATTACTGATGGTACTTAGACCCTTAAAGAAACCATGTTGTTTATGAGTTGTGGGTGATTGAAAATACTATCATGCTGCGACATCTCGAATGCCCCCGTAAAAGGCGATATTATCGATACAGGCCTGTAGTTGGATATATTAGATGCTTTTCCTTTCTTTAGGACGGGAGTAATTCTGGCCCAGACATCTGGGAAGGTGTTTGTTGCTAGGGCTAAGTTAAAAATACGAGACATGGGTTTAAGCAAAGCATGTGCACAATCTCGCACAATGAAACAAGGAATTTTATCAGGATCACAAGATACTTTGTTCTTAACTCGTGCTAATGCTCTTAATATAGTGTCATCACTTAAGTGATCAATGGTAATAAAATGAGTTAGAAAATTAATTCAACTTAGGGATCTGTTGTTGAGGAGTATTGTATACCCCCCCACCCCCAAAAAACTTAACAAAAGCATTAACAATCTCTTTAATGCTGGTGTAACTCTCTTTCCTGTGAAAGTGAAAATCTCTGGCAATTCCGTATTCCGTAAAGACCAGCAAGAAGTCAGATCCTCTGTGACTGCATTTTTGACCTTGAAGATGTAGTTTCTATGTGGGACATCAATCATTCTTTTAATAATCGCACGTATTTTTTAATGGATTAAAACTGTCTCTGATCTGTGGTGTTTTTTGAATAACCCATGCTTTCGCCTATTTTTTTCGGATGTCAACCATACCGGATATGGGGTCAAAGCGCCCTTTTTTAGTTCTCTGAAATAGTAAATAAAAGGCATTTACATAACTTATGCGTCGGATGTTGTTGAGTTGAGTTGAGTTTACTTCATCAAAAACCGACACAGGAGGAATCCAAGAGATTTGTAAATAGGATTACAGTAACCTGTGTTGGTTTTATTATCAATTACCAGTTTTAAAAAGAAAACATTTTCTTATGGATAATCCTGGCTTCAGCTGTATTATTTTCAGTAGGAAGCATAGACAGGTTGACGATTGCCATCGAAGAAAATTTATCCAAATTAATTGCACTAAAAAACTTGTTTCAATTATGCAACAGCCAACACCTTAGCTGCATATGTAAAAATCTAATTTTTCTCAAAGAATTTTCAAATGTTCTTGGTTCGGTTACAAAAGATACTTAAATAATTAATTAATACAAACATTAATAATTAATTAAGAGAATGTAGTATCGAAAGACTGGCGTTATTTTAATCTGGTTCACTTGCATGTAATAGCTGTCAGCAAAGGGAACAGAAATTTTCCAGATACTAGCGCACCAATGATTACGCTAGAAGAAACGTTGTATGAGAAAACTATTGAAATTCCACATGCATTTATGGATGCGGAAAAGTCCCGTACTTGTTGGGCCAATAGCAAAACCGAGAGATTCGCCGCGACCAAATATTATTGGGCCTCTCCAACGCGCAAAATCCCTCAGCATCTTATCGACGAATCTCCAAATTCAGGACTCCAGCAAACATCCTTTAACCACTCCTTTACACGCCACCCCTTAAAAACGGTTGGTGATTTCGTGCCGGGGACAATTAATGCTAGAGAGGACTTTTTATTAGTTATTTTAATGCCGTAAGGCAATATACTGCAATCAAATAAGCCCCCGACTACAATATTAAAATTAAATTCCATTTTCAAATATGATTCCAAATAAACCAATTTATGGAAGATAGGAATTTAAAATCGAAATAGAAACATAATTCCATGTACAGGGTGGTCGTGATTGAAGCGTTTTAACAGCAAAAACCTCTTTTTAAACTAAATGCAGTAGAGTTCTCGGATTTTTTTGTGTCATGAAAAATGTCGGAAATCTCAAGCGATCTTTATTTTTGTGTAAGTAGGCGGTGCAATATCAATTAAGGACACTGCTTTTATCCTTTATTAGAATTTGTGTTCTTCGAATCGAAATTTTCAAAAATAAGTTCACGGCAAGTTTCTAAAAGGTTGGAAATTGAAAAACGTCTTAATCTCGGTCGGTAGTGATGATATCGCGATGATTCTCAAAAATCGAGCTTAAGATATTTTTGCCCATTTTGCTCTATTTAGTTTAAAAATTGATTTTTTCCTGTGAAAATATCCCAATTGTGATCATCTGTAAAAAAATATTTAAAAAAAGAATAAATTGTTTATTAAGGAAATTTTGAATTCTTCGGAAGTTTCTTGACATATTTTAGGTATAATATATTACCTATACCCAAGTCCTTATCATTTCTCGAACTCTCAGTTTTATGTCAAAAGGTGTGGGTATGCGATCCAAATATATCTATTGATTTTTCCG